GTCTCTCTCTGGTCTCTCTCTGGTCTCTCTCTCTGGTCTCTCTCTGGTCTCTCTCTCTGGTCTCTCTCTCTGGTCTCTCTCTGGTCTCTCTCTGGTCTCTCTCTGGTCTCCCTCTGGTCTCTCTCTCTCTCTCTCTGGTCTCTCTCTCTGGCCTCTCTCTGGTCTCTCTCTCTCTCTCTGGTCTCTCTCTGGTCTCTCTCTCTCTGGTCTCTCTCTGGTCTCTCTCTCTGGTCTCTCTCTGGTCTCTCTCTCAGGTCTCTCTCTCAGGTCTCTCTCCCTGGTCTCTCTCTCTGGTCTCTCTCTCTGGTCTCTCTCTCTGGTCTCTCTCTGGTCTCTCTCTCTGGTCTCTCTCTCAGGTCTCTCTCTCTGGTCTCTCTCTCAGGTCTCTCTCTCTGGTCTCTCTCTCTCTGGTCTCTCTCTCTCTGGTCTCTCTCTCTCTGGTCTCTCCCTCTGGTCTCTCTCTCTGGTCTCTCTCTCTGGTCTCTCTCTCTCTGGTCTCTCTCTCTCTGGTCTCTCTCTCTCTGGTCTCTCCCTCTGGTCTCTCTCTCTGGTCTCTCTCTCTGGTCTCTCAGCAGGTGTTACCCTCAGAGTCTATGAAACCTGTGTCTTCAGCAAATACAGACGGAATTTTATAGAACAGGAGTGTCAGTCTGACCATTTGAACCTAAAGCTCTCTCTCTCCTCCCGTCTCTCCCCTCTCTCTCCCCTCTCTCTCCCCTCTCTCTCTCCTCTCTCTCTCCTCTCTCTCCCCTCTCTCTCCCCTCTCTCTCCCCTCTCTCCCCTCTCTCTCCCCTCTCTCTCCCTCTCTCCCTCCTCTCTCTCTCTCTCTCTCTCTCTCTCTCCTCTCTCTCTCTCTCTCTCTCTCTCTCTCCCCTCTCTCTCCCCTCTCTCTCTCCCTCTCTCTCTCCCTCTCTCTCTCCCCTCTCTCTCTCTCCTCTCTCTCTCCCTCTCTCTCTCTCCCTCTCTCTCCCCTCTCTCTCCCCTCTCTCTCCCCTCTCTCTCCCCTCTCTCCCTCTCTCTCCTCTCTCTCCCCCTCTCTCTCTCCCCTCTCTCTCCCTCTCTCCTCTCCTTCTCTCTCTCTCCCCTCTCTCTCTCTCCCCCCTCTCTCCCCTCTCTCTCCCCTCTCTCTCTCCCCTCTCTCTCCCCTCTCTCTCTCCCTCTCCTCTCTCCCCCCTCTCTCTCCCCTCCTCTCTCTCCCCCCCTCCCCCGTCTCCCCCTGTCAGACATCAACCTGAACTCCCCTAACAAGGGTCTGGGTGCAGACGGAGAGCCCGGCCTGGGGGAGGTGCCTGTGGAGGGGGCCCTGGGCAGCCCCCACCCCCTGCCTCCTGGACTCACAGAGGAGGAGGCTGAGGAGCTGAGGACGGAGCTCTGCAAGGTCAGACACACACACACACATAGAGACACATACACACACACAGAGACACATACACACACACAGAGACACATACACACACACAGAGACACACACACACACACAGAGACACACACACACACACAGAGACACATACACACACACAGAGACACATGCACACACAGAGAGCCACACGCACACACAGAGAGCCACACGCACACACAGAGAGCCACACGCACACACAGAGAGCCACACGCACACACAGAGCCACACGCACACACAGAGCCACACGCACACACAGAGACACACGCACACACAGAGACACACGCACACACAGAGACACACTCACACACAGAGACACACGCACACACAGAGACACACGCACACACAGAGACACACGCACACACAGAGACACACGCACACACTGAGACACACGCACACACACTGAGACACACGCACACACTGAGACACACGCACACACTGAGACACACGCACACACTGAGACACACGCACACACTGAGACACACGCACACACTGAGACACACGCACACACTGAGACACACGCACACACTGAGACACACGCACACACGACACTGAGACACACGCACACACTGAGACACACGCACACACTGAGACACACGCACACACTGAGACACACGCACACACACGCACACACTGAGACACACGCACACACTGAGACACACGCACACACTGAGACACACGCACACACTGAGACACACGCACACACTGAGACACACGCACACACTGAGACACACGCACACACTGAGACACACGCACACACTGAGACACACGCACACACTGAGACACACGCACACACTGAGACACACGCACACACTGAGACACACGCACACACTGAGACACACGCACACACTGAGACACACGCACACACTGAGACACACGCACACACTGAGACACACGCACACACTGAGACACACGCACACACTGAGACACACGCACACACTGAGACACACGCACACACTGAGACACACGCACACACTGAGACACACGCACACACTGAGACACACGCACACACTGAGACACACGCACACACTGAGACACACGCACACACTGAGACACACGCACACACTGAGACACACGCACACACTGAGACACACGCACACACTGAGACACACGCACACACTGAGACACACGCACACACTGAGACACACGCACACACTGAGACACACGCACACACTGAGACACACGCACACACTGAGACACACGCACACACTGAGACACACGCACACACTGAGACACACGCACACACTGAGACACACGCACACACTGAGACACACGCACACACTGAGACACACGCACACACTGAGACACACGCACACACTGACACACGCACACACTGAGACACACGCACACACTGAGACACACGCACACACTGAGACACACGCACACACTGAGACACACGCACACACTGAGACACACGCACACACTGAGACACACGCACACACTGAGACACACGCACACACTGAGACACACGCACACACTGAGACACACGCACACACTGAGACACACGCACACACTGAGACACACGCACACACTGAGACACACGCACACACTGAGACACACGCACACACTGAGACACACGCACACACTGAGACACACGCACACACTGAGACACACGCACACACTGAGACACACGCACACACTGAGACACACGCACACACTGAGACACACGCACACACTGAGACACACGCACACACTGAGACACACGCACACACTGAGACACACGCACACACTGAGACACACGCACACACTGAGAGCACACACTGAGACACACGCACACACTGAGACACACGCACACACTGAGACACACGCACACACTGAGACACACGCACACACTGAGACACACGCACACACTGAGACACACGCACACACTGAGACACACGCACACACTGAGACACACGCCACACTGAGACACACCACACACTGAGACACACGCACACACTGACACAGCACAACACACGCACACACTGAGACACACGCACACACTGAGACACACGCCACACGAACACGCACACTGAGCACACGCACACACTGAGACACACGCACACACTGAGACACACGCACACACTGAGACACACGCACACACTGAGACACACGCACACACTGAGACACACGCACACACTGAGACACACGCACACACTGAGACACACACACAGACACTGAGAGACACGCACACACTGAGAGACACGCACACACTGAGAGACACACCCACACACTGAGAGACACACACACACACACACTGAGACACACACACACACTGAGAGACACACACACACACACTGCGACACACACACACACACACTGAGACACACACACTGAGACACAGGTACTTTATACAAACTCTCAGTGTGGTTCATGTCCGAGTCAAACATTACAAACTGTATTGTGCTCTACGCCTGTGCTTTTCAACCTGTGGGCTGCGGCCTTTGATTCTGTTTAATGTTGTTAGACTCAAACTCTGCCTCATTGGCCTCACTTTATATAACAGCAGTATGTGTTCACAGTGACTTTATATAACAGCAGTATGTGTTCACGGAGGTGACTTTATATAACAGCAGTATGTGTTCACAGTGACTTTATATAACAGCAGTATGTGTTCACGGAGGTGACTTTATATAACAGCAGTATGTGTTCACAGTGACTTTATATAACAGCAGTATGTGTTCACGGAGGTGACTTTATATAACAGTAGTATGTGTTCACGGAGGTGACTTTATATAACAGCAGTATGTGTTCACAGTGACTTTATATAACAGCAGTATGTGTTCACGGAGGTGACTTTATATAACAGTAGTATGTGTTCACGGAGGTGACTTTATATAACAGCAGTATGTGTTCACAGTGACTTTATATAACAACAGTATGTGTTCACAGTGACTTTATATAACAGTAGTATGTGTTCACAGTGACTTTATATAACAGCAGTATGTGTTCACAGTGACTTTATATAACAACAGTATGTGTTCACAGTGACTTTATATAACAGCAGTATGTGTTCACAGTGACTTTATATAACAGCAGTATGTGTTCACAGTGACTTTATATAACAGTAGTATGTGTTCACAGTGACTTTATATAACAGCAGTATGTGTTCACGGAGGTGACTTTATATAACAGTAGTATGTGTTCACAGTGACTTTATATAACAGCAGTATGTGTTCACAGTGACTTTATATAACAGCAGTATGTGTTCACAGTGACTTTATATAACAGCAGTATGTGTTCACAGTGACTTTATATAACAGCAGTATGTGTTCACAGTGACTTTATATAACAGTAGTATGTGACAGTATAAACACACTATTGCCAGACACTGACACCTGTGTTTACACCTGTATAAACACACTATTGTCAAACACCTGTGTTTACACCTGTATAAACACACTATTGTCAAACACCTGTGTTCACACCTGTATAAACACACTATTGCCAGACACTGACACCTGTGTTTACACCTGTGTTTAGTCTGTGGAAGCCTTTTACATATTTGATCAAACTTGTTGTTTGAAGTTACACTGAACTGAATTTATGTTTAAAATGTGTTTTCCCCCTCCCTCTCTCCCCTTCTCTCCCCTCTCCCTGTCCCTCCCCCCTCTCTCTCCCCCCTCTCACTCTCTCTCCCCTCCTTCCTCTCTCTCCCCCCTCCCCTCTACCCCCCCCTCCCCCTCTCCCCCCCTCTCAGGTGGAGGAGGAGATCTCCACGCTGAGGCAGGTGTTGTCGGCCAAAGAGCGCCACTCCACAGAGCTGAAGAGGAAGCTGGGCCTGAGTCCTCTGGTGGAGCTCAGACAGAACCTGAGCAAGACCCTGCAGGACGTGCAGACCTCCAACGCGTAGGTACCACTCATCAGGGAGCACAGGGAGCACAGGGACCGCACTGTCAGGGACCACAGGGACCGCACTGTCAGGGAGCACAGGGACCGCACTGTCAGGGAGCACAGGGACCGCACTGTCAGGGAGCACAGGGACCGCACTGTCAGGGAGCACAGGGACCGCACTGTCAGGGAGCACAGGGACCGCACTGTCAGGGAGCACAGGGACCGCACTGTCAGGGAGCACAGGGACCGCACTGTCAGGGAGCACAGGGACCGCACTGTCAGGGAGCACAGGGACCGCACTGTCAGGGAGCACAGGGACCGCACTGTCAGGGAGCACAGGGACCGCACTGTCAGGGAGCACAGGGACCGCACTGTCAGGGAGCACAGGGACCACACATCAGGGAGCACAGGGACCACAGGGACCGCACTGTCAGGCAGTACAAGGACCGCACTGTCAGGGAGTACAGGGACCGCACTGTCAGGGAGCACAGGGACCGCACTGTCAGGGAGCACAGGGACCGCACTGTCAGGGAGCACAGGGACCGCACTGTCAGGGAGCACAGGGACCGCACTGTCAGGGAGCACAAGGACCGCACTGTCAGGGAGTACAGGGACCACACATCAGGGAGCACAGGGACCACAGGGACCGCACTGTCAGGCAGTACAAGGACCGCACTGTCAGGGAGTACAGGGACCGCACTGTCAGGGAGTACAGGGACCGCACTGTCAGGGAGCACAGGGACCACACATCAGGGAGCACAGGGACCGCACTGTCAGGGAGTACAGGGACCACTCATCAGGGAGCACAGGGACCACAGGGACCGCACTGTCAGGAACACAGGGACCACACATCAGGGAGCACAGGGACCGTACTGTCAGGGAGCACAGGGAACACAGGGAGCACAGGGTCCGCACTGTCAGGGAGCACAGGGACCACGCATCAGGGAGCACAGGGACCACGCATCAGCGAGCACAGGGACCGCACATCAGGGACCACACTGTCAGGGAGCACAGGGACCACGCATCAGGGAGCACAGGGATCACGCATCAGGGAGCACAGGGACCACGCATCAGGGACCTCAGGGACCACACATCAGGGAGCACAGGGACCGCACATCAGGGATCACGCATCAGGGAGCACAGGGACCACGCATCAGGGACCTCAGGGACCACACATCAGGGAGCACAGGGATCACACTGCAAAAAGTCCCTTGAAAGAAACAAGACAATGAAACAAACCAATGGGAAAGACTTTTTTCCTTGTCTAGAATTCTTGTTTTAAGTTTTTTTCCCTAATGTTTAATGGGAAAAAAACCAAGAATTAATTTCTTGATTTAAGCAATTTTCTCCCAAAAAAAGGTCAGATATAAGACAAATATTCTTGTATGTTTGATTAAGGATACATTAGCTTGTTTTAGCAAGGCGACAGTAGCTCAGTTGGTAGAGCATTGGCCTTAAGGCCAGAAGGTCGTGGGTTCAATTCCCACCTCTACACCTTCTCCACCGACTCCCACTGATGACTGCTGTCATTGTGTCCTTGGGCAAGACACTTAACCCCACTTTGCCCAAAGCCCCCACTGAAAGATCAAGGCTATGCTCACAGTCAGAGAGCAGCCGTCCTCCTGTGGACTCACCACCTGCAGAGGGTCAGTGAGGGGCTGGTGCTATGAGACTTGGGTGGCATCTCTGACTGCCCCTGACCCAGAAATGGATTAAAGGGTAGAAAATGGATGGATGGATGGATTGTTTTATGCTCTTTTTCGCCTTTATCTTTTGTAGACTGGTTTTAAGCAAAATAATATCAGCAGTAAATATGTTTGATCAAAGAAGTGAACACAAATGTGAAGGACAGGTTTACACGGTTTATCAACAGGAATGAAGGTTGGGCTGGTAGGGCGGGAACAGGAGGAGCAGGAGGAGGAGGAGCAGGAGGAGCAGGAGGAGGAGCTGAAGCAGGAGGAGGAGCTGGAGCAGGAGCTGAAGCAAGAGGAGGATCTGGAGCAGGAGCTGAAGCAGGAGGAGGAGGAGCTGGAGGAGGAGGAGGAGCTGAAGCAGGAGCTGGAGGAGGAGGAGCAGGAGCTGAAGCAAGAGGAGGAGCAGGAGCTGAAGCAGGAGAAGGAGCAGGAGTGAAGCTGCAACTGGCACAAGTTTCTGAGATCAGCACAAAACATGAGATTAGACGAGGTGTCTCCTCCTCCTCAGTGTCTCCTCCTCAGTGTCTCCTCCTCTGAGGTCTCCTCCTCAGTGTCTCCTCCTCTCTCTAGTCTCCTCCTCTCTCTGGTCTCCTCCTCAGTGTCTCCTCCTCTCTCTGGTCTCCTCCTCTCTGTGGTCTCCTCCTCTCTGTGGTCTCCTCCTCTCTGGTCTCCTCCTCTCTAGTCTCCTCCTCTCTGTGGTCTCCTCCTCTCTGTGGTCTCCTCCTCTCTGTGGTCTCCTCCTCTCTCTAGTCTCCTCTCTGGTCTCCTCTCTGTGGTCTCCTCCTCAGTGTCTCCTCCTCTCTGTGGTCTCCTCTCTGTGGTCTCCTCCTCTCTCTAGTCTCCTCTCTGGTCTCCTCCTCTCTGGTCTCCTCCTCTCTGGTCTCCTCCTCTCTGGTCTCCTCCTCTCTCTAGTCTCCTCTCTGGTCTCCTCTCTGTGGTCTCCTCCTCTCTCTGGTCTCCTCCTCTCTGTGGTCTCCTCCTCTCTGTGGTCTCCTCCTCTCTGTGGTCTCCTCCTCTCTGTGGTCTCCTCCTCAGTGTCTCCTCCTCTCTGGTCTCCTCCTCAGTGTCTCCTCCTCAGTGTCTCCTCCTCTCTGTGGTCTCCTCCTCTCTCTAGTCTCCTCCTCTCTGTGGTCTCCTCCTCTCTAGTCTCCTCCTCTCTGGTCTCCTCCTCTCTGTGGTCTCCTCCTCAGTGTCTCCTCCTCTCTGTAGTTACGTGCGTACCTGTGTGAAACTGAGTGAATGGAATGACAGAGTGACAGTCTCCATCCTGTGAGTGTCCTGCATCTGTCAGCCTGCGGACGTGTTTGCTTTCCATCTCCCCAGACGCCTCCTCCGCTCGCAGCTCCTCACTATATTTGCCCACCCTTCTCCCTCCCCAGACGCCTCCTCCTCACTATATTTGCCCAGCCTTCCCTCTCTCCAAATGGGATATTTGCAGCTGCGTCTTAACACCTGTGGGAGATAACTGAAATACTGCTAATGCTAATGCTTACACTTTAACTTTACTTTGCTAATACTGTGGTGTGTACTGCTACTGCGGTGTGTAATGCTACTGCGTGTGTACTGCTACTGCGGTGTGTACTGCTACTGCGGTGTGTACTACTACTGCGGTGTGTACTACTACTGCGGTGTGTACTACTACTGCGGTGTGTACTACTACTGCGGTGTGTACTACTACTGCGGTGTGTACTACTACTGCGGTGTGTACTGCTACTGCGGTGTGTATTACCTTCCCTCTGCCTCAGGGTGAGATCAGGCCCCTCCCCTCTGCTGCAGGGTGATATCAGGCCCCTCCCCTCTGCCGCAGGGTGAGATCAGGCCCCTCCCCTCTGCCGCAGGGTGAGATCAGGCCCCTCCCCTCTGCCGCAGGGTGAGATCAGGCCCCTCCCCTCTGCCGCAGGGTGAGATCAGGCCCCTCCCCTCTGCAGCAGGGTGATATCAGGCCCCTCCCCTCTGCCACAGGGTGAGATCAGGCCCCTCCCCTCTGCCGCAGGGTGAGATCAGGCCCCTCCCCTCTGCCGCAGGGTGATATCAGGCCCCTCCCCTCTGCAGCAGGGTGATATCAGGCCCCTCCCCTCTGCAGCAGGGTGATATCAGGCCCCTCCCCTCTGCAGCAGGGTGATATCAGGCCCCTCCCCTCTGCCGCAGGGTGATATCAGGCCCCTCCCCTCTGCAGCAGGGTGATATCAGGCCCCTCCCCTCTGCCGCAGGGTGAGATCAGGCCCCTCCCCTCTGCCGCAGGGTGAGATCAGGCCCCTCCCCTCTGCTGCAGGGTGATATCAGGCCCCTCCCCTCTGCCGCAGGGTGAGATCAGGCCCCTCCCCTCTGCCGCAGGGTGAGATCAGGCCCCTCCCCTCTGCCGCAGGGTGAGATCAGGCCCCTCCCCTCTGCCGCAGGGTGAGATCAGGCCCCTCCCCTCTGCAGCAGGGTGATATCAGGCCCCTCCCCTCTGCCACAGGGTGAGATCAGGCCCCTCCCCTCTGCCGCAGGGTGAGATCAGGCCCCTCCCCTCTGCCGCAGGGTGATATCAGGCCCCTCCCCTCTGCAGCAGGGTGATATCAGGCCCCTCCCCTCTGCAGCAGGGTGATATCAGGCCCCTCCCCTCTGCAGCAGGGTGATATCAGGCCCCTCCCCTCTGCCGCAGGGTGATATCAGGCCCCTCCCCCTCTGCAGCAGGGTGATATCAGGCCCCTCCCCTCTGCAGCAGGGTGATATCAGGCCCCTCCCCTCTGCTGCAGGGTGATATCAGGCCCCTCCCCTCTGCTGCAGGGTGATATCAGGCCCCTCCCCTCTGCCGCAGGGTGATATCAGGCCCCTCCCCTCTGCCGCAGGGTGATATCAGGCCCCTCCCCTCTGCAGCAGGGTGATATCAGGCCCCTCCCCTCTGCAGCAGGGTGACATCAGGCCCCTCCCCTCTGCACCAGGGTGACATCAGGCCCCTCCCCTCTGCACCAGGGTGACATCAGGCCCCTCCCCTCTGCAGCAGGGTGACATCAGGCCCCTCCCCGCTGCAGCAGGGTGACATCAGGCCCCTCCCCGCTGCAGCAGGGTGACATCAGGCCCCTCCCCTCTGCCGCAGGGTGATATCAGGCCCCTCCCCTCTGCAGCAGGGTGATATCAGGCCCCTCCCCTCTGCAGCAGGGTGATATCAGGCCCCTCCCCTCTGCAGCAGGCTGATATCAGGCCCCTCCCCTCTGCAGCAGGGTGATATCAGGCCCCTCCCCTCTGCAGCAGGGTGATATCAGGCCCCTCCCCTCTGCAGCAGGGTGATATCAGGCCCCTCCCCTCTGCAGCAGGGTGATATCAGGCCCCTCCCCTCTGCAGCAGGGTGATATCAGGCCCCTCCCCTCTGCAGCAGGGTGATATCAGGCCCCTCCCCTCTGCCGCAGGGTGACATCAGGCCCCTCCCCTCTGCCGCAGGGTGACATCAGGCCCCTCCCCTCTGCAGCAGGGTGAGATCAGGCCCCTCCCCTCTGCAGCAGGGTGAGATCAGGCCCCTCCCCTCTGCCGCAGGGTGAGATCAGGCCCCTCCCCTCTGCCGCAGGGTGATATCAGGCCCCTCCCCTCTGCAGCAGGGTGATATCAGGCCCCTCCCCTCTGCAGCAGGGTGATATCAGGCCCCTCCCCTCTGCAGCAGGGTGATATCAGGCCCCTCCCCTCTGCAGCAGGGTGATATCAGGCCCCTCCCCTCTGCCGCAGGGTGATATCAGGCCCCTCCCCTCTGCCGCAGGGTGATATCAGGCCCCTCCCCTCTGCCGCAGGGTGACATCAGGCCCCTCCCCTCTGCAGCAGGGTGACATCAGGCCCCTCCCCTCTGCCGCAGGGTGATATCAGGCCCCTCCCCTCTGCCGCAGGGTGACATCAGGCCCCTCCCCTCTGCAGCAGGGTGACATCAGGCCCCTCCCCTCTGCAGCAGGGTGACATCAGGCCCCTCCCCTCTGCCGCAGGGTGATATCAGGCCCCTCCCCTCTGCCGCAGGGTGACATCAGGCCCCTCCCCTCTGCAGCAGGGTGACATCAGGCCCCTCCCCTCTGCCGCAGGGTGACATCAGGCCCCTCCCCTCTGCCGCAGGGTGATATCAGGCCCCTCCCCTCTGCAGCAGGGTGATATCAGGCCCCTCCCCTCTGCCGCAGGGTGATATCAGGCCCCTCCCCTCTGCCGCAGGGTGACATCAGGCCCCTCCCCTCTGCAGCAGGGTGATATCAGGCCCCTCCCCTCTGCAGCAGGGTGATATCAGGCCCCTCCCCTCTGCCGCAGGGTGATATCAGGCCCCTCCCCTCTGCCGCAGGGTGACATCAGGCCCCTCCCCTCTGCAGCAGGGTGATATCAGGCCCCTCCCCTCTGCAGCAGGGTGAACTATGAGTCTGATGCTTTTGTTCGAATGGAGGAAAGTTTAATCAATAGGAGCATTTCCTGGAAAGTGATCCAGGAAATGATCGACCGCAGTTTTCATGTGACCAACACAGAAACGTCACTGTTTTGTCCTTAACACAAACTCTCTGAAAACACAAACTACATCTTGATCTAAGTCAAACGTCAAGGTCAAGGTCAAGGTCAAGTTTATTTATATAGCACATTTTTTAAAACAGACAGGACTGTCACAAAGTGCTTACCAGACATTTTAAAAATACAACACACAAATAACATTCAGCATAAAAATAAAATACAGGACACTATCATAAATGTTGTGTTAAAAAGCCAAAGCAAAGAAATGTGTCTTTAGCTGCGATTTAAAACTCTCCAAACGTGCAGTTAATGCAAGGCGGCCCAGGAGTTTCTGTCATTATAATGATATATTTGTGTAGTGATGTATTTTGACGCAGTGGCTCAGTTGGTAGGCATTGGCCTTTGAGCCTGAAGGTTGTGGGTTCGAGTCCACCATAAGACCTACTTCACGACTCCCACTGATGACTGCTGTCGTTGTGTCCTTGGGCAAGACACTTAACCCCACTTTGCCTGAAGCCCCAACTGAAAGATCTCAGCTCCTGTGGACTCAGCACCTGCAGAGGATCAGTGAGGGGCTGGTGCTCTGACTGCCACCCCCCACCCAGACATGGATTAAGGGGAAGAAAATTGATGGATGGATGAATTTTGATTTCTTAGGGACCAGGTGAGCAGTGACGTAGCGCTGACGTAGCGCTGACGTAGCTCTGACGTAGCGCTGACGTAGCTCTGACGTAGCTCTGACGTAGCTCTGACGTAGCTCTGACGTAGCTCTGACGTAGCGCTGCGGTTTTCCCTACCATTATAAACATGTAGAATCATCTCTGTGTGAAGTGCTGTGTCTGTGAAGGCGCTACATAAATAACATGTGTTTAGCCTTCCCCATTGTCATGTGCTGTTTGTGTCTCTAGATATCAGTCTGCGTCTGCCACTTGGGACGACATTACCCATACCGACGCGTGAGTCCCTTCCGTTACTCTCAGGGTTACTCTCAGGGTTACTCTCAGATTACTCTCAGATTACTCTCAGATTACTCTCAGATTACTCTCAGATTACTCTCAGATTACTCTCAGATTACTCTCAGATTACTCTCAGGGTTACTCTCAGATTACTCTCAGATTACTCTCAGATTACTCTCAGATTACTCTCAGGGTTACTCTCAGATTACTCTCAGATTACTCTCAGGGTTACTCTCAGATTACTCTCAGATTACTCTCAGGGTTACTCTCAGATTACTCTCAGATTACTCTCAGATTACTCTCAGATTACTCTCAGATTACTCTCAGGGTTACTCTCAGATTACTCTCAGATTACTCTCAGATTACTCTCAGGGTTACTCTCAGATTACTCTCAGGGTTACTCTCAGGGTTACTCTCAGGGTTACTCTCAGGGTTACTCTCAGATTACTCTCAGGGTTACTCTCAGGGTTACTATCAGATTACTCTCAGATTACTCTCAGATTACTCTCAGATTACTCTCAGGGTTACTCTCAGGGTTACTCTCAGGGTTACTCTCAGGGTTACTCTCAGGGTTACTCTCAGGGTTACTCTCAGGGTTACTCTCAGATTACTCTCAGGGTTACTCTCAGGGTTACTCTCAGGGTTACTCTCAGATTACTCTGGTGCTTGTGTGGCTGCTGTGTGCTTTGGTGAAGGGTTAACATGGCATAGCAGACTCAGGTCACCCAAAGAGCTTTACTATGTTCAAATATTGTTCCAATCATTCCTCACACGGTGATTGTGTTAGCATCAATGTTAGCACCGATGCTAGCGCTAACATCGATGTTAGCATCGATGCTAACATAGAGGCTAACATAGAGGCTAACATAGAGGCTAACATAGAGGCTAACATAGAGGCTAACATAGATGCTAACATAGATGCTAACATCGATGTTATGTTATACATCATCGTTTTTCTCAGATGTTTCACCAACACATCATTGGAAGTGTAGAAAACAAAGTTTAACTTTATTTGCATTTCTGTCTCTCTCTCTGGTCCCTCTCTGGTCTCTCTCTCTGGTCTCTCTCTCTCTGGTCTCTCTCTCTCTGGTCCCTCTCTCTGGTCCCTCTCTCTCTGGTCTCTCTCTCTGGTCCCTCTCTCTCTGGTCCCTCTCTGGTCCCTCTCTCTCTGGTCCCTCTCTCTGGTCCCTCTCTCTCTGGTCTCTCTCTCTCTGGTCTCTCTCTCTCTGGTCCCTCTCTCTCTGGTCCCTCTCTGGTCCCTCTCTCTGGTCCCTCTCTCTCTGGTCTCTCTCTCTCTGGTCTCTCTCTCTCTGGTCCCTCTCTCTGGTCTCTCTCTCTCGGGTCTCTCTCTCTGGTCTCTCTCTCTCTGGTCCCTCTCTCTGGTCCCTCTCTCTCTGGTCCCTCTCTGGTCCCTCTCTCTGGTCCCTCTCTCTCTGGTCCCTCTCTGGTCCCCCTCTCTGGTCTCTCTCTCTCTGGTCCCTCTCTCTGGTCTCTCTCTCTCTGGTCTCTCTCTCTCTGGTCTCTCTCTCTCTCTCTGGTCTCTCTCTCTCTCTCTGGTCTCTCTCTCTCTGGTCTCTCTCTCTCTCTGGTCTCTCTCTCTCTGGTCTCTCTCTCTCTCTGGTCTCTCTCTCTCTGGTTTCTCTCTCTCTCTGGTTTCTCTCTCTCTCTGGTCTCTCTCTCTCTGGTCTCTCTCTGGTCTCTCTCTCTGGTCTCTCTCTCTCTGGTCTCTCTCTCTCTGGTCTCTCTCTCTCTGCTCTCTCTCTCTGCTCTCTCTCTCTGGTCTCTCTCTCTGCTCTCTCTCTCTCTCTCTCTCTCTCTGGCTCTCTCTCTCTGGTCTCTCTCTCTCTCTGGTCTCTCTCTCTCTCTGGTCTCTCTCTCTCTGCTCTCTCTCTCTCTGGTCTCTCTCTCTCTGGTCTCTCTCTCTCTCTGGTCTCTCTCTCTCTGGTCTCTCTCTCTCTCTGGTCTCTCTCTCTCTCTGGTATCTCTCTCTCTCTGGTCTCTCTCTCTCTCTGGTCTCTCTCTCTCTGGTCTCTCTCTCTCTGGTCTCTCTCTCTCTGGTCTCTCTCTCTCTGGTCTCTCTCTCTGGTCTCTCTCTCTGGTCTCTCTCTCTGGTCTCTCTCTCTCTCTGGTCTCTCTCTCTCTCTCTGGTTTCTCTCTCTCTCTGGTCTCTCTCTCTCTCTGGTCTCTCTCTCTCTCTGGTCTCTCTCTCTCTCTGGGTCTCTCTCTCTCTCTGGTCTCTCTCTCTCTCTGGTCTCTCTCTCTCTCTGGTCTCTCTCTCTCTCTCTGGTCTCTCTCTCTCTCTCTGGTCTCTCTCTCTCTCTCTCTCTCTCTCTCTGGTCTCTCTCTCTCTCTCTCTGGTCTCTCTCTCTCTCTCTCTGGTCTCTCTCTCTCTGGTCTCTCTCTGGTCTCTCTCTGGTCTCTCTCTCTCTCTGGTCTCTCTCTCTGCTCTCTCTCTCTCTGCTCTCTCTCTCTGGTCTCTCTCTTCTCTCTGCTCTCTCTCTCTGGTCTCTCTCTCTCTCTCTGGTCTCTCTCTCTCTCTCTGGTCTCTCTCTCTCTCTCTGGTCTCTCTCTCTCTCTCTGGTCTCTCTCTCTCTCTCTCTGGTCTCTCTCTCTCTCTCTGGTCTCTCTCTCTCTCTCTGGTCTCTCTCTCTCTCTCTCTGGTCTCTCTCTCTCTCTCTGGTCTCTCTCTCTCTCTCTGGTCTCTCTCTCTCTCTCTGGTCTCTCTCTCTCTCTCTGGTCTCTCTCTCTCTCTCTGGTCTCTCTCTCTCTCTCTGGTCTCTCTCTCTGGTCTCTCTCTCTCTGGTCTCTCTCTCTGGTCTCTCTCTCTGGTCTCTCTCTCTGGTCTCTCTCTCTCTGGTCTCTCTCTCTGGTCTCTCTCTCTCTGGTCTCTCTCTCTCTGGTCTCTCTCTCTGGTCTATCATGTTAGCATTGTCCTATGTACAGTCTAAACAATGGCCCAATCAAGACATGATCCAATCACTGATTGATCGTGTGACTCCGCCCCTCACAGGACTGAGACAGACACAGATCAAAAACAAATGTATAATAAATAAATAAATAATTAATTGTAGTTACATTCCTCAAGTGAAGTTACTCTTTACAGTCCCCCGTGTGTTTGCGCCGGGATTTTCCACATTTTGAAATATAATGAAAACATTCTCCTCCCTCTGGTGGCAGCACAGGGAGTTGCAGGCGGAGACCATTATTACCTCTGCACAAGTCCCACTATAGATTCTCTGTAGTAGTAACATAACATCTGCTGTGAGTATGTGAGTATGTGGGGACTCCTCTGTGGTCTTTCCCACACTGTTCATGTGCTGTACCTGCTGATGCAAACAAAACCTGTGGAACAACACTGTTTACACGTTTGAGGCGGATGCACTGATCCAGAGACCGTAAATCTGAGTTCTGGACCTGACACCTGCATCAAAGCTGGTCCTGATGTGGTTGTAACGACAGAACAACTTTGAGCCTCTGAGATAAGGTCTGGACTCGAGGATCAGACGGTTTTGGGTTTGAATCTAGAATACATCAGGATCAGTGCGTCTCTGCCACTGTCATCACATGTGTCTAACCTGGATTATCCCCTCCGTCCTTTTGTCTCCTCACCCTCTTCCCCTCTGATGTACCTCCTCCCCTCTGATGTACCTCCTCCCTCCTCCCCTCTGATGTACCTCCTCCCCCCTCCCCTCTGATGTACCTCCTCCCTCCTCCCCTCTGATGTACCTCCTCCCTCTTCCCCTCTGATGTACCTCCTCCCTCCTCCCCTCTGATGTACCTCCTCCCTCCTCCCCTCTGATGTACCTCCTCCCCTCTGATGTACCTCCTCCCTCCTCCCCTCTGATGTACCTCCTCCCTCCTCCCCTCTGATGTACCTCCTCCCCTCTGATGTACCTCCTCCCCTCTGATGTACCTCCTCCCCTCTGATGTACCTCCTCCCTCCTCCCCTCTGATGTACCTCCTCCCCTCTGATGTACCTCCTCCCTCCTCCCCTCTGATGTACCTCCTCCCCTCTGATGTACCTCCTCCCTCCTCCCCTCTGATGTACCTCCTCCCTCCTCCCCTCTGATGTACCTCCTCCCTCCTCCCCTCTGATGTACCTCCTCCCCTCTGATGTACCTCCTCCCTCCTCCCCTCTGATGTACCTCCTCCCTCCTCCCCTCTGATGTACCTCCTCCCCTCTGATGTACCTCCTCCCTCCTCCCCTCTGATGTACCTCCTCCCCTCTGATGTACCTCCTCCCTCCTCCCCTCTGATGTACCTCCTCCCCTCTGATGTACCTCCTCCCTCCTCCCCTCTGATGTACCTCCTCCCCTCTGATGTACCTCCTCCCCTCTGATGTACCTCCTCCCTCCTCCCCTCTGATGTACCTCCTCCCTCCTCCCCTCTGATGTACCTCCTCCCCTCTGATGTACCTCCTCCCTCCTCCCCTCTGATGTACCTCCTCCCCTCTGATGTACCTCCTCCCTCCTCCCCTCTGATGTACCTCCTCCCTCCTCCCCTCTGATGTACCTCCTCCCTCCTCCCCTCTGATGTACCTCCTCCCTCCTCCCCTCTGATGTACCTCCTCCCCTCTGATGTACCTCCTCCCTCCTCCCCTCTGATGTACCTCCTCCCTCCTCCCCTCTGATGTACCTCCTCCCCTCTGATGTACCTCCTCCCTCCTCCCCTCTGATGTACCTCCTCCCTCCTCCCCTCTGATGTACCTCCTCCCCTCTGATGTACCTCCTCCCTCCTCCCCTCTGATGTACCTCTTCCCCTCTGATGTACCTCCTCCCCTCTGATGTACCTCCTCCCTCCTCCCCTCTGATGTACCTCCTCCCCTCTGATGTACCTCCTCCCTCCTCCCCTCTGATGTATCACCTCCTCCTCCTGTGACTCCACAGATATAAGAAAACCCAGGAGACGCTGTCCCAGGCAGGACAGAAAACCACCGCAGCTCTGTCCACGGTGGGAACCGCCATCAGGAGCCGACTCGGAGACATGAGGTAAGACTAGACCCAACCCCGGGGGGGACCGGACCCAGGGGGGACCGGACCCGGACGGGACAGGTGCTGCTGGTGCTACAGGCGAATGCTCCTACTTTGTTTAACCCACACAAACTGTCTGCAGCTGTATTCTCTGTGTCTGTCTCTGTCTCTGTCTCTGTCTCTCTGTCTCTGTCTCTCTGTCTCTGCCTCTGTCTCTGTCTCTGTCTCTGTCTCTGTCTCTGCCTCTGTCTCTATCTCTGCCTCTGCCTCTGTCTCTGCCTCTGTCTCTGTCTCTGTCTCTGTGTCTGTGTCTATCTCTGTCTCTGTCTCTGTCTCTGCCTCTGTCTCTGTCTCTGTCTCTGTCTCTGTCTCTGTCTCTGCCTCTGTCTCTATCTCTGCCTCTGCCTCTGTCTCTGTCTCTGTCTCTGTCTCTGTCTCTGTCTCTGCCTCTGCCTCTGTCTCTGCCTCTGCCTCTGTCTCTGTCTCTGTCTCTGTCTCTGTCTCTGCCTCTGTCTCTGCCTCTGTCTCTGCCTCTGCCTCTGCCTCTGTCTCTGTCTCTGTCTCTGTCTCTGTCTCTGCCTCTGTCTCTGCCTCTGTCTCTGCCTCTGTCTCTGCCTCTGTCTCTATCTCTCTGTCTCTGCCTCTGCCTCTGTCTCTGTCTCTGTCTCTGTCTCTGTCTCTGTCTCTGTCTCTGTCTCTGCCTCTGCCTCTGTCTCTGCCTCTGTCTCTGTCTCTGTCTCTCTCTCTGTCTCTGTCTCTGTCTCTGTCTCTGCCTCTGTCTCTGCCTCTGCCTCTGCCTCTGCCTCTGTCTCTGTCTCTGTCTCTGTCTCTGCCTCTGTCTCTGCCTCTGTCTCTGTCTCTGCCTCTGCCTCTGCCTCTGCCTCTGTGTCTGTCTCTTTCTCTGTGTCCGTCTCTTTCTCTGTGTCTGTGCTGGTGCTTTGCTCATGTGCTTCTGTTCTCTCCTTAATCGCTGCTGGTGATTGGTCTGCAGAGCGCTCCCATTCTCTAACTCCTTTAGGTAAGAAGCTAACACAAGCTAACACGAGCTAACACATGCTAACGGGAGCTAACACGAGCTAACAGGACTTAGCATCATCATCACACCGAGAGCTGACATGTGGAATTTTAGATTTACTGTTTGTCAGAGTTATGAAGCAGGGCTGGGTACATTATTACATTAAAGCTGAGGTACGTAACTTTCAAACCACAACAGAAGATCAAATGCTTCGATCATTAAGTTTCAGCTTTTTCCTTCAGCCAATCAGCTCTCAGCCCAAAGAGTCAAATAGTGACTCACAGGGATCTCACATACACAAAGATTAACACGTTTTAAAATTTAGAACTGTCTGAGTTGAAACACATTTAACCTGCTTCAGTCTGCTTCAGTCTGCTTCAGTCTGCTTCAGTCTGTTTCAGTCTGTTTCAGTCTGTTTCAGTCTGTTTCAGTCTGCTTCAGTCTGCTTCAGTCTGCTTCAGTCTGCTTCAGTCTGTTTCAGTCTGTTTCAGTCTGCTTCAGTCTGCTTCAGTCTGCTTCAGTCTGCTTCAGTCTGCTTCAGTCTGCTTCAGTCTGCTTCAGTCTGCTTCAGTCTGCTTCAGTCTGTTTCAGTCTGTTTCAGTCTGTTTCAGTCTGCTTCAGTCTGCTTCAGTCTGCTTCAGTCTGTTTCAGTCTGTTTCAGTCTGCTTCAGTCTACGTTAGTTTGGAATCAGTAACTTAAAGATTCTTTAACACTGTCTCTGTCTCTTTAACGCTTCCAAAGTAGCAACTATTCCATCCGCCACTCCATAAGTATGCCAGCCATGAGGTAATGCCCCCTACTGCCCCCTACTGCCCCCTACTGCCCCCTACTGCCCCTACTGTCCCCTACTGTCCTCTACTGCCCCCTACTGTCCTCTACTGCCCCCTACTGTCCTCTACTGCCCCCTACTGTCCCCTACTGTCCTCTACTGCCCCCTACTGTCCCCTACTGCCCTCTACTGCCCCCTACTGTCCTCTACTGTCCCCTACTGTCCTCTACTGTCCCCTACTGTCCTCTACTGCCCCCTACTGTCCTCTACTGCCCTCTACTGTCCCCTACTGCCCTCTACTGCCCCCTACTGCCCCCTACTGTCCTCTACTGTCCTCTACTGCCCCCTACTGTCCTCTACTGCCCTCTACTGCCCTCTACTGTCCCCTACTGCCCTCTACTGCCCCCTACTGTCCTCTACTGCCCCCTACTGCCCTCTACTGTCCTCTACTGTCCTCTGCCCCCTACTGTCCCCTACTGCCCTCTACTGCCCTCTACTGTCCCCTACTGTCTACTGTCCTCTACTGCCCCCTACTGTCTACTGTCCTCTACAGTCCTCTACTGTCCTCTACTGTCCCCTACTGCCCTCTACTGTCCTCTACTGCCCTCTACTGCCCCCTACTGTCCTCTACTGCCCCCTACTGCCCTCTACTGTCCTCTACTGTCCTCTGCCCCCTACTGTCCCCTACTGCCCTCTACTGCCCTCTACTGTCCCCTACTGTCTACTGTCCTCTACTGCCCCCTACTGTCTACTGTCCTCTACAGTCCTCTACTGTCCTCTACTGTCCCCTACTGCCCTCTACTGTCCTCTACTGTCCCCTACTGCCCTCTACTGTCCTCTACTGTCCCCTACTGTCTACTGTCCTCTACAGTCCTCTACTGTCCTCTACTGTCCTCTACTGTCCCCTACTGCCCTCTACTGTCCTCTACTGCCCCCTACTGTCCTTTACTGTCCTCTACTGCCCCCTACTGCCCCCTACTGCCCTCTACTGTCCCCTACTGTCTACTGTCCTCTACAGTCCTCTACTGTCCTCTACTGTCCTCTACTGCCCCCTACTGTCCCCTACTGCCCTCTACTGCCCTCTACTGTCCCCTACTGTCTACTGTCCTCTACAGTCCTCTACTGTCCTCTACTGCCCTCTACTGTCCTCTACTGCCCCCTACTGTCCCCTACTGCCCTCTACTGTCCTCTACTGCCCTCTACTGTCCCCTACTGCCCCCTACTGTCCCCTACTGCCCTCTACTGTCCCCTACTGTCCTCTACTGCCCCCTACTGTCCTCTACTGTACCCTACTGTCATCTGTCCTCTACTGCCCCCTACTGTCCCCTACTGCCCTCTACTGTCCCCTATTGCCCCTCTACTGCCCCCTACTGCCCCCTACTGCCCTCTACTGTCCCCTACTGTCCTCTACTGTCCTCTACTGTCCCCTACTGCCCTCTACTGTCCTCTACTGCCCCCTACTGTCCTTTACTGTCCTCTACTGCCCCCTACTGCCCCCTACTGCCCTCTACTGTCCCCTACTGTCTACTGTCCTCTACAGTCCTCTACTGTCCTCTACTGTCCTCTACTGCCCCCTACTGCCCTCTACTGCCCTCTACTGTCCCCTACTGTCTACTGTCCTCTACAGTCCTCTACTGTCCTCTACTGCCCCCTACTGTCCCCTACTGCCCCCTACTGCCCTCTACTGCCCTCTACAGTCCCCTACTGTCCCCTACTGCCCTCTACTGCCCCCTACTGCTCCCTACTGTCCTCTACTGGCCCCTACTGTCCTCTACTGTCCTCTACTGGCCTCTACTGGCCCCTACTGTCCTCTACTGCCCCCTACTGTCCTCTACTGCCCCCTACTGCCCTCTACTGTCCTCTACTGCCCCCTACTGCCCCCTACTGTCCTCTACTGTCCTCTACTGCCCCCTACTGCCCCCTACTGTCCTCTACTGCCCCCTACTGTCCCCTACTGCCCTCTACTGTCCTCTACTGCCCCCTACTGTCCTTTACTGTCCTCTACTGCCCCCTACTGCCCCCTACTGTCCTTTACTGTCCTCTACTGCCCCCTACTGCCCTCTACTGTCCTCTACTGCCCCCTACTGTTCTCTACTGTCCTCTACTGCCCCCTACTGTCCTCTACTGCCCCCTACTGTCCTCTACTGTCCTCTACTGCCCCCTACTGCCCTCTACTGCCCTCTACTGCCCCCTACTGTCCTCTACTGTCCTCTACTGTCCTCTACTGCCCCCTACTGCCCCCTACTGTCCTCTACTGCCCCCTACTGCCCTCTACTGCCCTCTACTGCCTTATACTGACCTCTACTGCCCCCTACTGGTGTCTGTCTGTGTGTGTGTCTGTGTGTGTCTGTGTGGTTCTAACTCTGTGTGTGTGTGGTTCTAACTCTGTGTGTGTGTGGTTCTAACTCTGTGTGTGTGTGGTTCTAACTCTGTGTGTGTGTGTGTCTGTGTGGTTCTAACTCTGTGTGTGTGTGTGTCACAGAAACTCGGCCACGTTCAAGTCGTTCGAAGACAAAATGGGAAACCTGAAGGTGAGAGAAGACGATGGTTAAAGGTGCAGCGTTAGAGACGGGGGCCGCCGCTCGCCGCTCGCTGGTCGCCGTGGAGACCACTCTGTGTCCAATCAAAGCTCAGAAAAAAGTTTACTGTAAAAACACCACACTTCTATTGGATAAAACCACATACTCCCACTGACTGTACTGTGAACATGCTAACACGCTAGCTCAATGCTAGTATGCTAGCTCAATGCTAACCCGCTCGCTTAATGAAGCCCCATCAGGGAAGTGCTCATGGACAAGGTTTTGCTCCTATGACTGCCATGTAAACGTAAACTCCTCAGTAATGTTGGTGTGACATCACCGTTTGGGCTTAAATCTGTTTATCTCATGATCCACATCAGGGTTGACCAATCAGAGGCCTTCATTTGTGCGGGAACTCTGTAAGAAGGACCGACGTGTTGCTAACGTGAAACTAGCTCCAGCTAACCCTGTGATGTCACACTCGGTCTCAGAGTCTGCTGCAGCTTTAACATCGGCCCATCTTTAAACTTTAAACGTTAAAGCGAGCGGCGGCCCCTTCGCAGCTGAACGCACCTTCAACACGTTAAAGCTCATGTCCGTAACTTCTGTTTGTGTTTGGAAGAATTCATTTTAGTGAACGCCGGGCCCTGCACAGAAGTAAGTCTGTTCAAAGTAGCTCCACCAATGAGGAGAGAGCTTTTCATTTGGTCCAATCAGGAAGCAGCAGGGTCTATCGGTGTTGGGTCACTTTAAAGCAACGGGACGTAACTTTTCAGCCACAGATGTTTTTATGGAAAAGTATAAAGACATTTTTTGTGAATAAAATCTTTGAATGTGACAAAGTGCAGAAGTTCAAAGAGTGTGAAATACTTCAGCTGCAGCTTCAGGAAGTTACGCACCGGTGCTTTATCCTTCACATCTTTTCAGTCGAATCCTCATTTTATTTTCTCCAGTTTTGTTTAAAATCTGTGGAAACTGAAAAACCTCAGAACAAAACTTTTTTTCTGACCCACAACAAACCAGTACATGGAGAAATTCCTTGGTAACCATGGCTTCAGCAGCCCTCTGGCCAATTGCAGTAAAACCACATTTGAATAACTGCAACATTTAGTTCCAGCTCGGCCTGGATAGAACCAGGACCAAGAGGGACTAAAGAAGGACCTGGGACTGGTTTTAAGTCACTCTATAGCTGGTCCTCGGGGCAGGTGTCCTGCCCTGAGGACCAGCTTTAGCCCCTCCCCCCTCTGACCTGTGGTCCGGACCAGGTCCAGACCTGGTCCTGTTCTGAAATGTCCCGTGTTTTGACCCCGCCTCCTCCATGATCACAGTGATTGACATCTGCCTCTCGTCCCAGTACAAAGTCGTCGGCGCCAAAGGAAACGGCGAAGCCACGAGCGAAACCGAGACCACGCCCACTCAGGAAAACCCCCCCTTCTAAGCCCCGCCCCCTTTGGACTGTTCTCTCCTCTGCACCGTGGCGTCCCACCAGCAGAGGGCGCCCTGCTTCACAGACACATCTCAGCTCCTGTTTTATTTATGCTTCATGTTTCAAAACAAACGTTTAAATCTAAAAATCTAATCAAAGATGAAAAAACAAACTGAAGTCAAACTTTGTCTGAATCACGGAAACTTTGGGAAAGAAGTGAACGAGAAGTTTTTATTTTGGATACCATTGGACAAAGGTTTATACAAAGGTCCAGAGCTTCTGAATCTGAACGGCTGCCTCTGATTGGTTCCCAGATCCATGTTAAAACATCAGCCTGAGTTCTCAGACTGCTCTGACTCAGATGTTTATGTCCTTTAAAAAGATAAAGCTTTACCACAGGTCCCTGTCTCCCTTCTGCTGAACCCACGCTAATCCAACTAGGACTAAACTATCTGAGGGCAGCTCCCTTCTGCTGAACCCACGCTAATCCAACTAGGACTAAACTATCTGAGGGCCGCTCCCTTCTGCTGAACCCACACTAATCCAACTAGGACTAAACTATTGCCACATTTGCCAAAAGTGTAAAGAGTCCGATGGATTCGTTAAAGCTCTTTATGCAAACTTCAAACTCACGTCTGTTTAGTTTTGACTCATCCGCACTGAGCACTACAAGTACTACTACAAGTACTACTACAAGTACTACTACAAGTACTACTACAAGTACTACTACAAGTACTACTACAAGTACTACTACAAGTACTACTACAAGTACTGCTACAACACTCGTGTATAGTACTGCCGCACTCGCATGTACATATGTCACGTCAGCTTTACCCAAACGGCTCTTTTCAGAATCGGCCGGATGTAAAAACCCCCGTTTTCTATAAACTATTTTACACTGCTTTGCACAATGTTTTTACACCAGGTTTTTCAACCTGTGGGCCGCGGCCCTTTCTGTGGTCCTGAAGGTTTTCCATTCGAGGCATTCTGTGGATTTAGTTTATGTTCAGTCCGGCCGTATCCCTCTGCTCTCTGCCCCTTTAGTCATCGTAAATGTGATCGACTCCCAAGTTGACGATCAGCGGATTTTTGTTCTTTGAGTAGATTCACAGGCAACAGACTTTCATTGGTTTTTTAAAGCCCCAATGAAAACGGAAAAGTTTTAAACGCTTTAGTTTTAATCTAATAATCTGAGAAACGACCCAATAACCTTCAGTTTCAGTGGAACAAAGAGGAAAGTTCACTTTGAATCTTTTGTTTGAGAAAAGTTAAAGATTCAACCTTTAATTAAAACTTGAATAAACGTCACGTCGGAGACTTCAAAGCTGCAGGTTTTCATTCCAACCGAGCGCGACACACCACTCAACACTCCACGATTTCGAAACTACTAAAACTCCCAGAGCCGTCAGTTTGACTGCTCCCATTCAAAACAAACTTCTCACATTTAAAATAAAATAATGACAGAAATAATCCACGCGTAGAAAATGGTTCCGAAGTTTAGAGAAATGACACTAACAGCAGTTAACCACACTCCCAGAGCAGTCACTTTAACTGCTGCTGTTTGGTTGGAATGGAAACCCGCAGCTGCTCGTCTGAAGACCCGTGTCTGAGGTCAAAGGTCAAAGGTCAGATGTTAGAGATGTCACTTTAGCTCCGGGTGAATTTGAAGGTTTTAAGTTTTTTTCTTCACTGTTTCATGTTTTTCTGTAAATCCACTTTTTCAGACAGTTTATGTTAAAGATGCAGAGGAGGATGTTAAAGATGCAGAGGATGTTAAAGATGCAGAGGATGATGTCACACGGGACTAAACAAGGACCTCAGCTTTAATGTGTTCGGTGCCAAAAGGTCTGAGGCTGCGTTTCATCTTCAACAGGATCAGAAATATGCCAAACGCCCCCGTGTGGTGAAGTGGTGAATTACAGTCTGCTTTTATCAAGGACTGAAAGAACATTTACGGCAGATAAAGTTAGAAAAGGATTAAACTCAGCCAAAAACTCAGACGGTTCAAAACCGTGTTTCGCCAAATCTTTCTTTTTTAATTTTATTTTTAACTCATTTAACAAAAGTTAAAGCCAATGTTTGTGTTTCCTTTAAGCCTCACACATGTGTCGTTTGTCAAATTCTTAAATAGAATCCAGTAAAAACAGCCTCTTGCTCCTGGTCACACCTGGTCACACCTGTTAACACCTGTTGACATTTATGATGTATTTTTTGCCATAAAACTTCTTCAGTTTAACGTTTTCTGAGTAGTTTGTCGTTAAACCATGAAAGTCTGTTTCAGCCTCGTGTCGTGTTTTTCTTCTGTTTTTTCTGTAAAGTTTCAGTTTCAGCTCAAAGCGTCTGAAGGCGACGGAAGAATAAATGCTTTTTAATATATTTAGGGCCTTCAGCTTAAAGTAGACAAAGGGACGAGATGTGGAAATAATTAGAAAAGAATCTTTGGTTTTGTTGTAAATGTTTGAATATCAATAAAAACGCATTCCTTTAAATGTCTTTTCATTTTTATCAAACAGTTTTCACAGCGACTGCGCCTCAGACTGCGCCTGAGGTGGATCTGAAAATAAACAAAAGTTAGAAGTTTCCAGTTGATTTCACACTTTCATCGAAGCGAGATCAAAGACTGAAGAGTTTTTAAAATACAATGTATTTTAATTCAGTTTTAAAATGTCTTTGATAATTGGGATCAAGTTGGAGCGCTCCGAGTCCAGCTCCGAGTCCAGCTCCGAGTCCAGCTCCGAGTCCAGCTCCGAGTCCAGCTCCGAGTCCAGCTCCGAGTCCAGCTCCGAGTCCAGCTCGTTCTCTACAGTTCTGTAAAAGTGTAGGTCAGGTTGAAAGATGAACACACATGATCCTCAAAAGAGTAGTTCCCTGACCGGGAATCGAACCCGGGCCGCGGCGGTGAGAGCGCCGAATCCTAACCACTAGACCACCAGGGAACGAGAAGACTACGCAAACCGTCTTTTGAAAAACTTTTACGTGTCGGAGAATTAAAATTGATGTATCCAGAGTTTATTGAAGTTAAAACACTTCTTCACATCCAGCAGCAGAACAAACAAACTGGTCAAAGTCAGTTAACTCTATTTCTATGATTTAACCAAATATTGTGAAGTTTACCACCAGGGGGCGCCAGCGGCACGTGGCGAGAGCAGTGAGTCCAGAGTCCGCTCCTCTGAGCTGTTTGATGTAAGTCACATGTTTTTACTCATGTTCTCTGTTGTTTATGTTTCTGTTTATTAAAGACCGTCCTCATCCGTCATTAAAGATATAACTATAAACATAGGAGTCACTTTCTACTCCTCATCAATGTATTTTATGAATTGGACTGTTTTGACATTAGGCTTTACATGTGTAATATAAACTTAATAAATTTAAAATAAACCTACAGCCTGCGCTGCTTTCATGTGGACCTTACACAGATTCGTTTTTGTTCTTTGGTCAAAGTTTTGTGTTAAATGTGTCTCTTTGAATCTTTCTGGCTCCTGCTTTGGTGAAAGAGGAAAAAGAAAGTTCCCTGACCGGGAATCGAACCCGGGCCGCGGCGGTGAGAGCGCCGAATCCTAACCACTAGACCACCAGGGAATGGGGAGAACATGCAAACTGTGTTATTAAAAACGTGAACGAGGGAGAATCAGGTCCATTTAGTTTACTCACACTAACGACGCCTGTGGATTAACACCTGTGGATTGACGCCTGTGGATTGACGCCTGTGGATTGACACCTGTGGATTGGTATATTTTGTCAAATAAAATGCTTCTTTCTGTCTGAAAGAACTTAAACAACTGGAAACTGAAATAATGGTATTTCTGCTGAAGTTTAGAATAAAAGTCTGTTTCGACAACATCAAAGTTCCATAAAACTCTAACCGTAACATCCGGGGCACGTTTACGTCGCAGTGAAGGACCTGTGTTCTATAAAACGGGTAAAACTGCACAGAAGTTCTCCACAGTTGTCGTGGCCGAGTGGTTAAGGCGATGGACTAGAAATCCATTGGGGTCTCCCCGCGCAGGTTCGAATCCTGCCGACAACGAATCGTTTTCTTTTTTCTACCTTCACTCTGAGCTCCTCAGGACTCACAGACTTTATGGAACTGACTCTAGATTCTGAGAATTAACTGAAAATATCCACAGAGTTAAAAACATCCAAAAACATCCGGAAATTCAGTATCAAACTAAAACAAAAGGTAAAGGATGTTGTGGTTCACACACTTCTCCAGCAGAGGGCGCCACAGTCTGTGGATCCGCACGGTTCTAGAGTGCGGTGCATTATTGACCTCCGTCATAAATGTCTCTTTATCGCCGTGAAAACTACAGGACGAATAAAATATATAATAATCTTTATTTTTTATAATAATCTTTATTTGTATAGCACTTTTAAAAACAATGTTTACAAAGCGCTGCACAGTCAGCATGATAAACAATAAAAACAGTCATAATTAGATACAGAAACACAAACAGAGCAAAACACAAAAGAGACACAACAAAGACAAAGCAGACATTAAAATACAGCATGTGTTTAAAACTAACAGTTAAAAGCTGTTTGATAAAAGTGGGTTTTAAGAAGAGGTTTAAAAGAGGATACTGATGGAGCCTTATCTCCTCGGGTGGTTCCAAAGCCGAGGAGCCCGGACAGAGAAGGCTCGGTCCTTTCGTCCGGAGCCTCGACCTTGGAACAGCCACAGGGACCTGCCCGAGGATCTAAGGCTGCGGGGGGGCTCGTAGGGGGTTAACAGTTCAGAATATATATTTAAACACATTTGTTGTTTCTGTACAAAAAACCCCATAACATTAGCTTGGCCTCGTGCCCTGTCACGTTGCAGAAACACGTGACCTCAGCTGCTCACAACATGACACACAATAAAACCACATAAACACAATATTCACACATTTACAAATACATACCGTCCACAGAGACCAGAGACTCCCGCGCGGAGGTCTGTGAGCAGGAGGCCGTGGATCTGAGGGGCCCCTAATGGCCTCTGAGGGCCTCTTCTAGGTCTCACCAAGTCTCGCGAT